TCCAGCTTGTTGCCTGTTTGGTAAATAAAGTTTTATTGGAAAACAGCCACAATCATTCATTTACATATCATCTATGGCTGTCTTCATTCTCCCATGACTAAGTTGAGTAGTTGCCACAGAGACTCTATCTACAGCCTGAAAGGTCTAAAATACTTACTATATAACCATTTACAGAATAAGTTTGCTGAACTCTGTTCTGATTTGGAACAATGTCTTGAAAAAACAAAACAAAACAAAAACCCCAAACACCAAAACTGCTGATTTTACCCATCAATGTGTAAAAGTTTACATTTTATCATGGTCTCATAGTTTCCATTTTATCATGGTCTCTATCAATAGGACTGAATCCCGCCAATGTCTATACCTCTGTCCCTGAAAACCTTTGCCAATGGCACTGGGTGACTTTCTTCTTCCACACCCATGTTATAGGACCAGTTTTTAGCAGGAGTAGATTCAGTGAACAAACATTTCTAGATTTATGAGTGAAGTGCTCAACAGATATGGAGATCAAAACCAACTCCATAAGAATGTTTTGAGATGCCCATTTCCAAACTCATATCCTGAATCAGAGTGGGCCTTCTTGAAATGAACACCTTCAGTAAACTGACTACCTATCTGCAGAAAAGGATGGAGAACTTTCTCTGCAAGTAATGCAAGAAAGGCTGTAAGATCTTCCCAAAACATTTTTTTAGGAGATCAGTATGAAAAGCACTGTCATGTACATAATTAATATACAGTAACATGATATACACTCTAATATATAATAAATGTAATAAATACAATATAATAAAATATAATGAATATAATATTAGAGGTCCAGTGCACGAAATTTGTGCACTGGGTGGGGGTCCCTCAGTCTGGTCTGTGCCCTTTGGCAGTCTGGCAGCCCTCAGGGGATGTTGGACTGACAGCTTAGGCCCGCTCCCCCTGGGGAGCGGGCTTAAGCCAGCAGTTGGGACATTCTTAGTGCTGCCACAGAGGTGGGAGAGGCTCCAGCCACTGCCACTGCACTTGCCAGCCATGAGCCCAATTTCTGGCGGCTGAACAGCGCTCCCCCTGTGGGAGTGCACTGACCACCAAGGGGCAGCTCCTGCGTTGAGCACCTGCCCCCCTGGTCGTCAGTGTGCGTCATAGGGACTGGTCATTCTGCCGTTTGGTCGATTTGGATATTAGCCTTTTATTATATAGGACTAGAGGCCCGGTGCACAAAATTTGTGCTCAGTGTGTGTGTGTGTGTGTGTGTGTGTGTGTGTGCGCGCGTCCCTCAGCCCAGCCTGCACTGTCTCCAAGTCTCCAATCTGGGACCCCTTGAAGGATGCCTGACTGCCCATTTAGGCCTGATCCCACCTAAATATGTGATATCTGTCTCACAATCCAGGACTACTGGCTCCCAACTGCTCACCTGCCTGATTGCTCCTAACAGCTTCTGCCTGCCAGCCTGATCACCCCTAATTGCCCTTCCCTGCAGGCCTGATTGCCCCCAACTGCCTTCCCTTGCAGGCCTGGTTCCTCTCAACTTCCTCCTCCCCTGCTGGCCTGGTCGCTCACAACTGCCCTCCCCTGCTGGTCATCTTGTGTCCACATGGGGTGGTCATCTTTGACCACATGGGGGCGGCCATCTTGTGTGTTGGAATGATGGTCAATTTGCATATTATCCTTTTATTAGATAGGATAATATAACAAATATAAAGAATCCTTTAATGTCATGTTCTATTAACAGGTCTATCTTGTGAATGAAGGATAGGTAAATCAGATTTCAAGTCTATCCGCTGCTCTGAAAACAAATTGTTATATCAATGACTACCTACACTCAAGTAAAATAAATCCAAAGCATAAGAAGTTTATCAGAGAAACCATCTCTATTCTAAAGCATAATCCAAGGACAGAAATGCAGGACATATTGAGAATGCAAGTCATCTTCAATCAACAATTTAGTGGTAATTCTAACAGTCAAGTCTAGCACTTTCATAAGATAAGCTGAAAACAGAGGCTTAAAATCTCATAGGTCTGTTCCTTTTGTGAAGCAATTCTTGTCCTCTGAAATAAAGTGCCCTAAGTTACTAAATATCCTTAATGTTAGAACATTTAATATCTGCCGAGACCGGTTTGGCTCAATGGATAGAGCGTCGGCTTGGGGACTGAAGGGTCCCGGGTTCGATTCCGGTCAAGGGCATGTACCTTGGTTGCGGGCATATCCCCAGTGGGGGGTGTGCAAGAGGCAGCTGATTGATGACTCTCTCTCATCGATGTTTCTAGCTCTCTATCTCTCTCCATTCCTTTCTGTACAAAATCAATAAAAATATATTAAAAAAAAAAGAACATTTAATATCTTATTTGCTATTTTATTAGTTATAAACTCTTTAAGCTAATCGAATTTAGTCTCTTTAGCTCCCTCACAGCCCCAGTACTTTACTCTTCTTTGTTTTTATCTAAATAAAACTATGGGTTAGAAGAACTGGAAAAGAAAGAAAATGATGGTATAAACATATATAAAACTGTGATGAATGATCTTCTGTTCCCTCTCCAGGAGACACGAGCTAACTCCCTTCTTGGGAGTTCTGAGTCCTCCCTAAGATAGATATTCTGACAGATTCAAAAAAACATATTTTCCATATACTTCATAGTTCAGTGAAACTCAAGTAGTATAATCCTCAGTGAGGAAAAAAAAAAAAAATCCACACAAGAATGGTAATACTCTGAATTTTCAAAGGAATGTGAGTTGCTGGAAGCTAATCAAAAGAATGAGGACTTATAAATGAAGCAGTTTCTAAAAGTGAACATTAGCAAAACTGTCTCCTTCTTTAAAATTTCAATGCCCTGCAAGCACCACCTTGTTTTTTTTTTAAATCACCCACCATTTCAAGGTATGGAAGCGTTAAAAATTACAAGAGACCAACTGTCTGGATATGTCAGGCTGTGGATTATAAGATTATGTTCAGATATGAGGAATAAGGCTACATATGACACCTCCACTATCTACCTCAATAGTATCCAATTCAGTTGGTATTCTCAAGTACTTTGAATGATGTTGGCTTTAGAAGTTTAAGGAGTTTTTAAAAAATTTAAACATTAAAAAATATCAAAGACACACATTTATATCTATAATTGTGAGAATGCAAACTGGCTTAAATGGATTCTCTATTCCTTAGATTTTCTAGAAAATAACATTTTTATCAGACAAAGGGCAGTGTAGTGATCAAAATGAGATGCTACATTACATATTTTCCAGATGAAAAGTGTGGATATTTCTCTAGAAAAATGACCTAATGAACTACTTCAAAATGTCTGCACTTAGAATTTTTCAATTATAATGAATTAATCCTATATAATAAAAGCCTAATATGCTAAATATCTGGTATTCTAGTTGGCCGTTCAACCAATCAAAGAGTAATATGCTATGATATGCTAAGGTTGCTCAACTGCTCACTATGACATGCACTGACCACCAGGGGGCAAACACTCCAACCGGTAAGTTAGCTTGCTGCTGGGGTCCGGCTGATTGGGACTAAGCAAGATGGGCACACTCCCTGGAGCCCTTCCAAGATCATTCCCTAGCTGGCCAACCTCCCACATACCTCCCTGGCCCCAATCGTGTACCCGTGGGGTCCCTTGGAGAGCTGGTTTTGGCCCTATCCCACAGGCCTAGCCCAGGGACTCCACTGATGCACAAATTTGTACACTGGGCCTCTAATAATAATATACAGAATACACTAAAACGGATAAAAGTAATCAAGTGGTCAATGATACTTCAATAAGAAAAAATGTTTGGCCAAAACCAGTTTGGTAGAGCGTCGGTCTGCGGACTGAAAGGTCCCAGGTTCGATTCCGGTCAAGGGCATGTACCTGAGTTGCGGGCACATCCCCAGTAGGGGGTGTGCAAGAGGCAGCTGGTCGATGTTTCTCTCCCATCAACGTTTCTAGCTCTCTATCCCTCTCCCTTCCTCTCTGTAAAAAATCAATAAAAATATATATATATTTAAAAAGAAAAGAAAAGAAAATATGTTTGAACTGGGATAGTAGTTGAAAAGGTAAGTAATGATAGAGAGCACAATGACAATTATTTTATTTAGAAGAAAAACTTTGGTAAACATTGCCTTAGCCATATTTTAATTTTGCACAAACTAATGAACACTACATTTTTATAAAAAGAGCAAAAGCTGATAGAAGACATTTCTTCAAAAAACCAAATATCAGGGAAGCTCATAGCATCAATACTGATTCAGCCCAATAGAACACGTGGGACGTGGTAACTGAGTCTAATGATAATCCTGAATTATAAAGAAACATTTAACTCTTTATAGCCTGTCTTTTCTGTGAAGCCACCCTTTCTCTGTAATGGGGGCCATACTGATACACAAGTATAAAATACTCAGATAGCTCCCTCACACATATATTCAAAAAGAGTTTCTGTCATATTATAGACAGTGAGTAGGGACTCAATATTTCACTAGAGCATAGCTCCATGACAGCAAGATTTTTGGGTTCATTTTATATTTTTATTTACACTATTTTGAGTACAAACTATCAAACCAGAAGACCAACAACTTAAGTTATGACCATTTCATACAAGAACTTCAAAGTGATTTATTCCTTGAAAATTTTGATAGGTCACGAAGGATTAACATGTACTTATTGGGCCAAGTTTATGAAAACAGAGTACACTTAGAAAAAGATTAATAAAAATGCTAACTTCTAGGTATCTGAGAATTAGACCCTTTTGGGAAGTTACTAAACTAAGATCATATAATAGGAAGGGTAACTACTACACTAGAGACTTTGTGGGGAAACATTCAAATGAAAGAAAGAATGTCAAGACTAGTTCGGCATCACTTTACAGCAAAGCCAAGGCTCTGGCTTCAGAACATTTCTTCCCTGAGAGCAGAATTCCCCAGGAACCATCCAAGCCACGGTGGTGTTTGTAAACTGTATTCCTACATTTTCCCATTGACCTTATTACTCAATAGAAGGAAGACATTAGCACTTGGAAAATCTTGAATTAC